GAGAGAGTAAAAGAGAGATAGAGAGACTTTGTTTAAAGTTAAATTAGACGAATACCAGACATACCACCGGATATTGTTTTTGATGAAAAAAAAAAAAAATCTACGGCTTAGACTTTTCGAATAAACAAAATTAATAATAATAATAATAATAATAATTTTCGTTTCGATGAAATATAAATACGTAAACAATAATTTCCGTTAGGAAAAAAAAACAAAATGGCTTCTCTGCTTCCATTAAAAGACGTTCAACAGAATGTTTTGTTAATTAAAAAATATTAATAAACTTTTTTTTTTTCACTCTCTCCTCTCTCTCTCTCTGTTTTTCTCTGTGTGTTTTTTTCTTATTTGACTCTCTTTGAAATGTTAATAATAATAATAATAATAATTTAAAAATTCCAGAAAAAACAAACGTTTGTTTATTTATTTTTTTTTTCCCCGAAAAAAATGTGGAAACGGTTTCGATTTTTATAAAAGTTCGATCGTTTCTTTCAAATTTTTACTTTTTTTTTTTTCATCCCTTCGTAAAAATTTATCGTCTGCTAAATGTTTAAAAAAATTACGGCGGTAAACATTTATAAATTATTTATAAAGTTAGTAACAAAAATTTTGTTTATTTTTTCGGTTTAAAATGTTATAAGTAAAAAAAAAAAAAAAAATTAATTTTTTCTTACCTGTAAATATTATTATTCTTTCTTATTATTACCACGTAATTTTTTTTTACTACCCCCTTCCATCCCCACCCCCTGGCTCCCCAATCCCGCCGCGTAAATTAATTTTATCATCATCGTGGTGGTGGTGGTGATGAACGATACCGCGAAACTTTTTCTTTTTTTTTTGTTTCGAAGCGGTTAATTTGTATTCAACGTAAAATATTTTAACCGTTATTTTATCTTTCGTTAATAATGGTAATAATAATAATAATAATAATTTTAAAAAAAAAAAAATTGATGACATTGTAAAGGTAAAAAAAAAAAATTTATTATAAAATAAAGTTTACTATAAGTTTAAATGGTAAGTTTATGAGTCGTTACTTCTCGCGGGTTTTATTTTATTTTATTTTTTTCTTCTGCTTTTTCTTCTTCTTTTTCTTCTGCTTTTTATTTTTTATTTATTTATTTCTTTACGTCCGTGTTTTTTTTTTTTTTACTGTTATTAAATTTATACTCAATTTAAAATTTATTACAAACGAAAAATCCATTTTAACTTTTATATACGCGCATACGTTTAATTATCAGGATCGTATAAAGTTGTCACACACACCAAACAACCTCCTCTTGTTTATTAATTTAACACGAAAAAAAAAAAAAATTTTGTGTAATTGTCAGAGTTTTTTTATTCCAGGTTTCTTCCAAATTTTTTCCAGGTTTCTTTCCGATTCCTCAGGAATAAATGCTCGAATTTTGTGGGTGCTGTTTACGGCCCTTCTCGCATACCGCCATTTCCTGTTTTCGCTTTCTTCTGTTAAATTCTTCGAAATCTTCTTCGGATTTCCTCCTATTGAATGTGGTGGCATGGCTCCCAGTGATGCTCCCATGATGACCTCACTTAACCCCCCCATCCTCGTTCCTTCAGTTTTTTCCTCAGCTTCTTTCACCGTCTGGTGTTTTTCCGTCGGTACGGGTACTTCAATTAATTTACACCACCTTCCACAATCATGTCGCTGGATGATATCCGGTTTGTG